AAAGCATATAAAAAGACTATCAATCAATAACATATATTGTACAAGGAAACACGCCTCAATTGTTTATCAATTATATTTACACTGATGGTTCAATCACATTTTTCTATCAATTATTATGCCATGAATAGTTATCTATCAACATGCCATATTAATATGCTATATCAATATGTCTATCAATATCTATCAGTGTCTATGCCATATGTTATGCCATGTTATATCAATCTTAATGCATGTTCCATCAATTTTATATCAATTATATCTATCAATCAATTCATATACTCTTATGTAAATGCATGCAAACATGAATACACTAATGAATAGCAAGATAGAACATCCAACTAGTTACATGGTGTTTTTCTATATCTTGTATTAATATCAAGTGTTAGATGTCAAATGTCTATCTTGTAAGTGTTGTCACTTTTATCCGTCAGCATATCTTATCCCCTTATAACTCACTATCTTATATATTGTATTGAGATTACACCACACAACCCATAAAAGCATGTAGGCCCACCCTTTTGCTCCAACCAACCTGAGTTATTTTATAATTAGTCATCCTTTCTTGTAATGCAGCATTTATGTTGTACAACTCATATCATTTTCTATCTAATTTTAATATCATACATGAAATGGAATTAATCAATGAAATGTAGGAAAAATTATACACAAGTTATTTATTAAAAAAAAATTATTACTATCAAATTAGGTGGTAAAATTTAATAATACTATAATCAAAATACTCAAAGAAATCATATATATCATATAATGAAGTTACCTGGTGAGAATTTACTAAATCAGGAGAAAAATACTTTTTTATCGATTTAGGAGGGATTTAATTCATCAAACATAAACTTTCAAAATATAATCGATGGATGAACATTTCCCAAAGCACTTCCTCTCTCTTCTCTCTCTCATCCCTTCTCTACTATATATTCTCCTACTTTATTTCCTTCCCAACCAAGCAAAATGAGAGTGGGGGATTTTGGTCGGATTACAGAGATATTTAAATAAAAAATATTAAAAAAAATTATTTATAGTGCCTAGCACAGCGGTGTGTATGATCCAATGCCATTGTGCTGCATGCCACCCTAGAGTTATTGTAGAACAGAGAGCTCAATACTTCAGTGGGACTTTCCCAACACCGCTGCATCCCAAGTGTTGTTGTTCTTATCACTCCAGCACCATGGCGCTGCCTGTTGAATCATATTTTCATATTTTTCAAATAAATTCATTTAAACTTTTAGGTTATTACAAAGCAAACTAGAAAGTTAATATTTAGGAGAGGAAACCCATAATTTGGTATGCCAAGTTTAAGTTATGAACCTTGTCTCCTTCTTGACAGTTGGTGTGACCAAATGAAGTGGCCACTTAGTGAGGGTCATTTTGGTAGAAACCTTTCAAAATCGACATATGTACTAGGAATATGATAGTGGTGTTAATTTTGTGGTGGGGTGAACTTTTGGAGGGTACTAGGTCAAATAATAAATAGGGATAAAAAATTCAGACAATATTAGAATGACTTCAAATGATGATAACATCTTGATTACTTATCTAAAAATCATGAAATCACTTTCATCAGTTAGGAGAGTGTGGCTAGATGTGATATGGTAAGTTTCATAAGTTTTCAAAGATATAATTTCATTTAGGAATTTGGAAGTGATAGGTTCTAGAAAACCCTATTCTTGATGAATTTATAAACATAATAATTAGTTAAGGAACTTCAGTGAAATTACTTGGAGTTCATAGGGAAATGAGCTAAGAATAGATGATTTTTTTATCATGTTTAAGGGCACCAAATAACAACTTGAAAAATATTAGGTCTAACTTCAACATATGATTAGTCGACCACTAAACATCGGATAAGAATTTGAGTTTATGGGAGATATTATGAAAATTAATATTTTTTTAGTTCAAGAAAGTATAAAGGAATGCTTTCTCATTGGAAACTTAAACAAATTATAAAAGAGAATAAAACATTCACTTACTGAAGTGATTGCGTATGGATGGTTGAACCTATAACCATGCTAGATCTCCAATATATACACAATACAAATTTTATACAATAAAACAACACATATAATATATAAAGTTTAGCATATACATAATATTTGAAATAACATCAAATTATGAAAACTAACAAAAAATTATCCAGGTTAGGGTCTTCATTTCCCTTCTAATGGTGGGTCCTCCATGCATAATTTGCAAATTTTATGGATTGAGCCTTTGTAGTTGGACCCTATATGTCATTTATGTGCTTCTTGTGTTGCACCATATTCAGCCCATAATATGCAGCTTTAATGCATACCCTTGACATCACAATCTCAATCAAAGTAAAGATATCGACATTATCCCTTAGAGATTTGATGAGCTTTGCAATGTTTTGAGTTTAATGATGAACTTATTCAAAGGTCCCCTTCAACTATTCCTCTTTGTACCTCAAGTTGTAACACCTTTTTTTGTTGGCCGCATCACTTTCATGACGATCTTTAGGTAACATGCTCATGTCTGAATCATGCACTTTTTACTATGATCTTCTAACCTTTAGAGAAAATTTAATCATCACATAATATGTTAAGACGACAAACCTAAAACTTTTTATGAGTAGTAACTCGAATATTACATTGTAGGTGGTGGTTGCATCCATCACTCTAACATCAACCATCACTATGTACCAGTGTTTTCACTTAGCCTAGTAATGGGTAGGGAGATTATCCTTTCCTATTTCACCGCCCCTTCTAAAAAATTGTAGAGTGAGCCTATAGTGAGGAAGAGTTGGGAAGGAAGTATATTCAACTAATCAAAAATATATATTTAAAATATAGTTGATGAATTTCCCTATATCAATTAGAGTATTATCAATATGGAAGTTAGTGAGCATTGCAGTGACTACTCATATCCACTTTAGAGAAGGTAATCATAATGACCTTGGTTGCGGGCACTCAAGGCATTATTGCCAAGTTGACCTGCCTCAAATGGGGATGCTTACGACTAGCTTGATGAGAGGCCTTAACTCCATCTCCTCCAAAAATGGTAGGGCACTACCCCAGTGATGTTGATAGTGCACGCAAAAACTGACTTATGCCCTTTATCTTCTATGGGCACCTTTTTTGCTTAATTGCACATGTTTGCCATAACAAATTCTCTCAACTTGCTTGTATTTATTAAGTCATCCACTAAGCTTTTAAGGTCGTCATTTCTTAATGTCAGGTCTATGATCCTTGTGAAATGTACACAAATTGGAAGTGTCATTTGCATGAGTGTTCGCCTTCATCGACGTTGTGCACTTAAAGAATATATGATTACGCACATCTCTCAAAAGAACCATGTTGACAGTCTATGATTCTTCTCGAAGACACGCTATTCATCTCAATGATTCCCAATTTCTCTTAATTTCTCAATCAACATCACATCTCCCACTGACATACATCAAGTGCTTGCACTAATGTCATTAGTCAACGATATCAACATCCTCAAAACATTTATGAGTTTCCCGTATCATTCACCATAAATATCTAAGGATTTAAACACATTAATTTTTTAGGCTATATTAATTACTCAAGATCGGAATGTTAGCTCTTTGATATTCCTCAAAACTTTGATCAACTTGCTTATTTAATTGAACAATGAATGTCATATTTTTTACATATTTAAGGTATCATCTTCTTAAATAGTCATGATGATTTGACCACACTTAGAGGATCATCACTTTTACAAATATTGATGCACAAGCTTACTATAGGAAACTCTTTTAATAAATGGGTTCCTCTACCTCAATTTTAACTTTCTATATCTATTGTTCTATGTTCTTTCTCTCATAAATACTTCCATATAACACTTGAGTTTGTATGTCCTACCTTATAACCCTTAGTTATTTAAAATTTATCCTTAGCTTGTCTTTAAAGTGGATGCAAATCATTTATTCGAATCTTGCTATGTGCTATGACTTTTTACTATCTCTTTATGGAGTTTTATGTGCATTGCACTTCCTAACTCTTATGTTCGAACTTTTGATGCATATGCTCTCTCGCTCTTAGGACAAATGAGCTTATGTTCAATCATATTCATGCTTATGGTTGTACGTTCCTCAAGCTTTTTAACAAATTTTTTATAAGTATTTAGAAAGTTCTAGATTTTTATTTATTGAAAAAAATATTTTTTTACTCGGCAATGTAACGTAAAAAAAGCTAAAAGAAGTCTTCAATCAGATAGGAAAAGCAAGAAATTATTATGTGAGGCATCCATATTGGAAGAACCATAACAATATGTGAGTGTACTATACATTGTCTCCACACTAGGGGTGTCAATATTTGACACAACCCAAAAATCCGACCCGAACCGGAAAATCCGGGTTAGGGTCAACCCATTTGACCTATTTGAGAAATGGGTCGAGTTTGAGTTCAGGATTCTAACCTGTTTGTAAAATCGGGTTGGGTTCAGGCTGACCCGAAAACCCGAAACTAACTTGGATTGTATTCCTGAGTGACCTGTTTCGTCACTCGTCAGTGTCATCACATCACTCACTTGGAAGTCGTGGTAATATGTCGTCGCGTCAATGTCGGTCGATCACGTCCGCGTTTCTTTGCAGTTAGATCTTAAGCAACAACGGCAAGGAGCTTGCCGCATTTGCTGCTCTGCCAGTTCAGCAGTTCGTCACTTCACCTGCACTCGACGACGTTCCTTCCGGATTGGAAGCAATGACGAATACAACAAGGAGCTCTTCTTGCCGCCGTTTTGTAGTTAGATCGGAAGCAATAATAACGACAGTGGGGGAGATCACCATGAAGGTCGACCCATAAACTTTGATGTTAGGCCCAAATTGGAAGCAACGATGACGCTTGCACTTGCACAGTTCCAACTATCGTGTCGGGTCGGGTTCGGATTAAATTTTGTGACCCATTTGCAAAAAAAATGAATCGGATTTGAATCATACCAAATTTTAACAGATAAATATTAGGTTCGACCGAATTTGAACCGGACATGTGACCTGATTTTTACGGTCCTACTGCACACTAACATTAGGGACGGTTCTTAGGAAAAGCGTGGGCACGGCCAACACAGATGAAACCAGAAAGCCAAACTGACGTTCCCGCGGGAGTCAGACGAAACCCTAGCTCTAAGCCATTGCCGTTCATCCTCAATTATACTCACATATCCAACATCAACTAATTATTTTCAAATTTTATTTTATATTTTCTTTGGATTAATCTCCGATGGAGCCCGTGACCTTTGTCGTTGGTCGATTCAAAGAGTTTGGCAGATCGACGGAGAGGTTCGTGAAGGGAGTGTTGCAGAGTTGCCTCAAGCGAGCAAGCCAAGGCCCGGTACACTTTTCCCTCTCAAGCCTACGTTGCTTTTACCGCTAACGTTTGGAACTAGAGGTCGTTATGTTGGAACTGTCAATGTTATATGGTTTTATTTGTCCTGGAAAATTTTGGACATAATTTATTACCATCGATGAGGGCATATTTTTTTATAGTTATGGAAGTATTATTACCTAATATGTTTTTGCATTGGTGCACATGAGAAATGTCTTAATTGATAAACTTCACCAAGAAGATCAGAAATGAATTTATTTTGTATTAAAGGAAGATTTTTGTTACCTCCTACCAAACCCTAAATGATTTCTTTTGATTAGCCTACGTTGGAAAAGTTTCAAGTCCTATTTTTTCTTTATCTCCCTTTTCCCAAGAATTCAACTCTGAGTCTGGCAACCCCCCATTGACTCAAAGCCATATTTAGGCAGACGTTATCTATGGCACAAGCTTAGAGGATTGAAGTTTTGGGGATTTTTTTAACACATATTTTCAATCGAATATTGAAGATTAAGAGAATGTCAAATGATTGAAGAAGAAACATTTTGGCATTAGTATTCAAGAACAAATTTGATGTTCAAGATTATGCTATTGCTAATTATATAGGAATCAGAATTATGGGTGATGCAATGAAGTTATTAGAGAAAGTAAAGGACATAGGCTTAAAAATTACTTTAACTTCAGATAACTAATTTGTTTTCATGCTAGGAAGATATATTATGGAAGCATTATATGTGTTGGGGAAATTAATTGAGAAGTATATAAAGAAAAGCAAGGATCTTCATGTGGTTTTTATTGAATTTGAGAAAACATATGATTGACTATTTTGGGAATTAATTTGGTGCGCGTCAAGGCAAAATGTTTGTGTTAAGGGTATGCTAATGTTATTAAAAATATGTATGATGGAACACTAGCTAGAATAATTAGGCAACTAGCCAAGAGTTTTTAATTACTGCATGTTTATAGTAAAAAATAATATTGAGTCCATATATTTTTTGAATAGCTATGGAGATTCTTATAATTGATATTCAAAACGAGGTGTCTTGTTGTATGTTTTTGAGCTAATTATCTAGTTATAATTAGTGACTAGTGAGACATCAACTAAAATAAGTGAAAATTAGAATGATGGAGAAAAATATTTGAAGATGGATGTTTTTGAATTAATAGAACAAAAATTACGGTTATGATATATAATTTTAGTGGGTATGATGTTAAAAATTATCATTCAATGTTATTAGATGAATTGATGGTATACATGCGTGATGTATTTAAGTATCACATATCTATCACAACAGTATTTTCCAAAAAAGATTTACTTCTTTATGTACAACAACTTCATAAAACAGTTTTCTCTACAACAATTTCATCGACAACTTTACCAACAACTTTCTCTAGAAACTGCTTTACCGACAACTGTAGTTGTCCCAAACAGATCTTAAGTCCTTGTGCCTAATTTAATAAACTCAGGCAAAGTTTGTTTTAATGTTGGTCTTCAAAGTAGTTCAGTTGATAACTCTCATCTCCATCCGCCTTTCATTTTTTATTACTATGATCATTATTGTGTTCATTCATGATATTCTTCGCATTGGAAATGATATTTTTGAAATTTAGGAAATAAAATAGTACCCTCAAGTCTTGCATTTGGTTAATATTTATAGAGATATGAGAGATGCTTTGCCAGCCAAAGTGGTTGGAAATGCTGGGAGTTTATTTGAAAATATGGAATAATATCCCGAGGCATGCAATAGGTTTTTCATTAAGATTTCATCATTTTCTTTTCATTGCATGCTTTATGAGCTTCTGCAAATGTCCTATGCCAGTTAAAAATTGTTGATATACTTTGGTGAAAAAAAGAAGTTTTTGAGTTCTAAAGGGCAAGGTATTGGGTGAGCAACCGTTTCAGAATTTGATGAATACGTGTACCAGTCAAGTTGGCCAACTTAGCAAGGTAAGAGCCTTTCTGAATTTAGTCCATCCGAGCTGACATGCCTTGTTAACCCATCTTTTTTTGAATATGAATTGTCAAGGTTGAAATAAACTTGAGCCATTCAATCAAGTTGAACTTGGCCTGGCCAAAGAATGACTTCGGAATAATTCTAAAAAAAAAATATAAAACCAAATTTAAAGTAGTTTTACCTCAATTTAACTCAAAAATAAGAATGCTTGGGAATGCTAATGTACTCACATAAATACACTATCATGCCTAAATGATAAAATTGACTATTTGTTTTTTATTTTCAGGCTTAATGGGTTTCATTTTAATCTTTTTATCTTGTTGTGTGCAAAATATATCCTTCATAAGGCATTATTTTATTGATTACCATAAGCTTTAGATTACATATTGAGAAATTTGTCTTTGCATACTCAAAATAAATGATTAGTCCAATAAATAAATTACGACTTAATATAAAAGAATTAAGCCTTGTGAAATATCTTAGGTGCTTCATTAATTTTAACTTATTCTCATCGTGAATATGATCAAGAATCAAGATTACTCTTAAGATCTTCCTATTGAGTTTATTTTCTTCTTGACATATACTTTCGGATGTTAGTTATAGCAATACACATTAAATGCCGTGCTCATCAAAATCAACCTAGTTCAGCACCTTCGTTGCTTAACTCTTAACTTAGGCTTCATTTGGGATAGCTTTCTTTACGCTTCTTAAAGCATCTTCCTAGTAAAAAAATTTAATTAATTTTTGTACTAGGAAGCTTCTTTAAGAAGCGGAAAGAAATCCGTCCCAAATGAAGCCTTAATATTTTCTTACATCTATTCTATTGCCCGGCAAGGTTGTTATATTTCTTATGTTCAAATTTACATGTTTGTTAGATTGAAACACTTAAACGTTTACAACGAGAGGCATTTTCTGATCTGATGAAGCTGAGGGAAAGACAAGATAAAGTAGAACGCATGCTTTCCTTCTATCAATCTGGCAAAGGAGGCCCATTCCAAGAAGCTCGTACCCATATGAAAGGAATTATAAATGCAGATGGAGCTTTGATGTTCATAGAGAATGATTATCAGCAGGGTTCCGATAACCTTGATAGATTAGGAGCAAGAAGAGGCATCGATCTGAGGTTTATTTTTGAGACTTCTATCAGGCAGAGAGATCTACTTATAGCAGAGTTTTTTACTAGTCACTGCAGTCTGGTTAACCACAGTAACGTGAATGGGTGCCCGCTGGTTCTATCAAAGTTGGTTTATTTGGCTAACATTTGTAACTCCCTATCTGCTGTGTTTGCTCCCTTTGGAGCTCAATGCACTGAATTTGGAACAAGCTTTCAACAGGTAACTTCTCCCCAGTTTTCCGGGGCTGTTTGGTAGCACCCACGATTTAATTTAAGAAGGATTTCATAAATCCTCTAAATCTGGATTTCGGAAATCCCGAGGGGACTAAATCCTGAAAACTGTTTGACAACATTCATGATAATCCTATTAAATCCAATGCGACTGTTTGACTATAAAACGGATTTAACGGGCGGACTCTTCCTCTCGAGCCAATGGATTTCGTAAATCCGACAAAAAACACGATTTCGGAAATCCGGGGTTTAGTATGAAAAGGCAGGATTTTCCGTATATGGCGGCTGTCATTTGCCATGAGATTTGGTTTTGCATTTTAGACCGTTTGGCTGGATTTCGTTCAAATCCGTCCTAAATTCTGCTACCAAACAGACCCTTAACTTTCAGATTCTGTGTTGTTTTAATTATTTCATTTTTTTTTTAATTATTTCATTAAAATGTAGTTCGAACTAATTTTACAAAGGCTATAGCTTTTGACAGGGAAGATATGAAAGTGCAGCCCCTTCATTTTCTCCCCCACTGTTCCAACAATCTGAAGGTTGTGGGCTTGGTTTCATTGTTAAGGGACCTAATCTTTCTGCTAGTTTAGCTGGGTTAGTTTCTGGGCTTGTTGAAGACACTAATTTTGTCGGAAACATCAGACAAACTATCTTTGGGCAGGTTTCTTGTAAACCCTCTGAAGAAGCAAGGCTCACAATGTCTGGAATTTGGCGAACTTCCAAGTCATCTCAGCTTTTGAAACTCGGTCCAATGGCCTTACCGAGGGGCAACTTGAACAAGAGTACAGTAAATGCAAGCCTTGAAGGATCTTCTTCAGCCACTCCAAGTAAGGCAGAATTTCTTGCATCATCATCGATTGCATTGATGTTAGAATCACAGTTTAATGAGACTAATAATCTTGATTGTTGGGTTGAGATGTGGAAATCAAATCCCGGTTTGTTAAAATGGGGTATTTCTTTATATGATGCTCCTCGCGATGAACTAGGGTGGGGTTTTAAGTTGGGTGGACAAATTGAAGGAAATTTCAATCAGTTTTGGCTGGAAGGCTTTCTAAATTTCAGTTTGGGCAAGAAAGCTGTACTGCAGCCAGGCATTTTATATACTGTTAATGGAGAATCCAGAACTCCTGCACTATTACTAAGGTCAAGCTGGTTCATGTAATTCTCTGAATCTTTATCTTTTCTAGTTTGAGCTTTAATTTATTGTATATATTTATACATTGTAGTTTGTATTAGATGCATTCTATACTCACACATGCATACCTCTTTATCATAGGTATATTTATAGGGGAAGAGATCCAAGTTGGGATATCTTGATTCAAATTTTGTTATTAGATTTATTTTAAGATAAGTGCAATATAAATTTTATTCGATCAACTATACTTTATGCTCATTTCAAAATTAATCATGATCAATTGTAGGTCTGAATCTTTCAACTCAAATTCAACCTCTACATTTATGTTTCGTTCCTCATAGTTCATGCAAACAAATATATTTATTGTGTACATTATCACACACAAACAATTGAAGGATGTACATATCTTTTTTACCTTACACATAATATGCATGGCATTTATTATATGCATAGTATTAAGTTTTGTTTGGGACAGTTTTTTGCTGCTATCTAAAATAGTTTTTAGTATAAAATTTTTTTGAATTAGAAATTTTTGTACTGAAAAGTTGTTTTAGAAAGTAATAAAAAAACTGTCCCAAACGAAGCCTTAGCTGATACAATGAATGGATGAATATTTATTGAATGTTAACCATAGCCCATGTTGGATTGTTGAGCTTGAAGACATGTTTATTTGTAGAGTACAGGCTATGTGTCATTGATGACATGTTTTTATGTAGAGTACCATTTGTAAAATTTGTCATATAAGTATCTTCTAATTAGTCTATTGTCCATATCCTTGCTGAATATAATTAAGCATGTCACGTTTGGAAAGTGTTTGGTCATCCAATTTATGGTTTGAACTTTCCTCTTCGATTTGGACCCATATGGACTCGGATTGAGTCGAATTTGATTGCGTTGGGTTTGTATTTTCGAGCGTTCAATTCAACTGTAAGTTTTCTGAAATCGGAGTTCGGATGGTCGCAGATTTAATTTCAGAAGCTTTCAACTTGATTTTGCCTCGAGATTTGAGCCTGGTCAAGCTAATTTTTTTATGTATGTAAAAGTTATTTTTTTATTATACTTTTTCCCCTTCTTCTTCAATCGATTGTTGTAATGCTTGGATTTTTTTATGATAATTAGGACCGGAATTATATCGAACATGGATCAACTTAAAGTTTTTCTAAAATAAGAAAAAAATTGTGTTATCACTCGGTGTTTGAGGCATCTATTTACTATTTTTTAAAACAAAATTTTAGTAAAAAATTATTGAACTAAAAATTATCGTACTTAAAAGTTATTTTAGAAAATAATAAAAAACTGTACCAAACAAAATCTTATTAATCCATATCATAAGCAAGCTTTATGAGTCTACATCTTGTTTGAATTCATAGCAAGATAGACAATCAAATAAAATAATTGCATTATGCCTCTTACATGCATTTCACTACACCCGGTATCATACATATCTTAATGAAATTATTTTCAAAAATACACATAGATGGATAGCTGATTCATGATGATCTAGATAAGATTTTAGATTAGTTAGTAGGCTTATTGATATACCTCATGGTTTAGGGTTTATCTTTCATATGGGTGGAAGAATAATATCATGTTTCCTTATATTTTTTCATGAAAGTTAGGAGGGTACTCATCATATGCGATGTTGTAAGTCTCAATCTCTCATGCTACTTGTTAAGGCTTATATCACTTTGAGGTATTACATGTCTAATTTGGGTGAAATTATTTGGTTCGGACATCGGACATAGCTTATCGTTCAGTACTTCACTACCGAACGGTACTGTGAAGTACTGAGTTCGGTACTTCACAATACCGAGTATATTGAGCTCAGTATTGAGCAATACTGAGCTTGGTACTGCTCTGTATCGAGTTCAATACCGAGTAGAGGGTGATGTGGCACATTTTCATTGACTCCGGATGGCGTCCGGTGTCCGAACCCAATAATTTCGCCTAATTTGGACATCTAGTTTTTGAGGAGTTTCTCTCCATTTGATTCTTGGGATAAGTACTTGTGCCATACTACTAGCCCCTTCTTAAGGTGGCTCCCTCTAGAAATGTTTAGTCCCATGATTTATTATATTTTCCTAATTCAAAAAATTTTATCTTAGTAAACACTTATCACTCATTTTTTTTGACGTATAAATTGATTAGATTGTAACTGGTTGGACCTCTTTGATGTTATGAAGATGTTGTATAGTTAATAGTAATGTATAAAATGAAATATAAATAAATATATTTAAAAAAATTAGATTAGGATATTCTAATCTAAATTTTATATTAAATATTTTGTTTTACATAAAAAGAATAAAAAATATTAATTATTTGTAAATTAATTTATTTAAAAATAAATTAAATAATTTTAAAATTCATGATTAATTCTAATGAGAATATTCTAATTAAATAAAATTAAAAAAATATATAATGGTAAATGCCATCTTCTCATTATCCAAGTGGTCTCTAACGTTTCACTAGTGTTCTTCCCCGCCTTATCTTGGTAATGAACGCCCTTCGCTTTACGGTGAACCAGAGGTCGACATGGCAGTTGGCCCCGCCTTTATCCGCAAACATTTCAAAATATAGATGCATCTTCATTAGAAAAAGGCCTCGCCTTGCAGTTCCTCTTCGCCTTATCAGTCTATTTGAGGTCACCAAAAGCCGACTGAAGCAGAAAAAAAGCTTTTTGGAGATCCTACTTTTCTTGCTAAGCAGATTATGGCTAAACCCATATCGATCGAGGTATGGAATCCCAGCGGCAAATACAGAGTCGTGAGTACCAAGCCCATGCCAGGAACCCGCTGGATCCGGCTATTGACCGACCAAGATTGTCGCGTTGAGGTAAAACCCTCTCCTTTATCTCTTTCTCATTTCTCTCTTGACTCTTCCATCTTCAGATTTGCACCGAGAAGAAGACTATCTTGTCAGTGGAGGACATTATCGCGCTCATTGGGAACAAATGCGACGGAGTCATCGGCCAGGCGAGTTTATAAAATTCCCAAAACTGAAATTGAAGAAAATTTATTGAGTTTTATGGTTTTTTTTATTGTTTGGATCTGTAACAGCTCACAGAAGATTGGGGGGAGGTGCTTTTTTCCGCCCTGAGCAGAGCTGGTGGAACCGCTTTTAGTAACATGGCCGTGGGTTACAACAACGTCGACGTGAATGCGGCAAACAAGTATGGAGTTGCAGTTGGAAATACGCCGGTATCGAATCAGAGCTCGTGTTGATGAATTTGAATGTTAAAGATGGTTTCCTTTTTATGGTTTTGATCTAATTTGCTAGTTATTTTGATTAGGGAGTTCTAACTGAGACGACGGCCGAATTGGCCGCCTCACTTTCTCTGGCGGCAGCAAGGAGGATTGTGGAAGCTGATCAATTCATGAGAGCTGGATTATATGATGGATGGCTCCCTAATTTGTATGAATAAAAAGCTAGTTTTTAAGGGATTGAAGTTTCTTCTGCCAAAAATATTTAACTTTTATTTTGTAGATTTGTTGGGAATTTGCTCAAGGGACAGACAGTGGGAGTGATAGGAGCTGGTCGTATTGGTTCAGCTTATGCTAGGATGATGGTAATTTTTTCTTCTTTTGTCTTTAGTTGAGTATAGGGTGGATTTAAGCTTCTTTTGGGACGGGTTTCTTACTGCTTCCTAAAGTAACTTTTTAGTAAATTTTTTTTTTTAAACTAGAAAGCTGCTTTAAGAAGCATTAAGAAAGCCGTCCCAAACGAAGCCATAATCAGCACTCCTCATTGTTTTGATAATTTCTTACTTCTACACACGAACATGCAAAGATCATTGACAATGCCTGGCTTGTCAAGAAACCCGTATTTTTCAACTTCAAAATTTCTCCTCCTCACCCCCTCCCTAACAAAAAAATGTATTGAAATAAAAAATCCTTTTTAATTGATCTCAGGCAACATGGTGTCAAGAACATATCTTGCATAATTTTTAAAGCAAACCATGTTGATTGTGTTTTTTTTTTTCTTTTTGTGAATTCAATGCAATTTTGGCTTAGTTTGGGACGATTTTTTTTTTTTGCTTCTTAAAGCAGCTTTCTTGTACAAAAAATTTAATTTTTTGTATAAGAAAGCTGGTTTAAGAAGCAGAAATAAAGACGTCCCAAACGAAGCCTCATAGTACATTAAGAAAAGCTACACATAAGAGTTTTGCATTATCGATTGCTTTCTTCTAATTCTTTGTTGCTAGGGTAGGGAAATCCATTCATCCAGCTTTTATCACAAAAAATTTAAAATTCTTGTTGTTAGGGTTATATCATCACAACCCACTCAATGTTTGCAGATTGAGGGCTTTAAGATGAACCTTATATACTATGATCTGTATCAAGCTACAAGGCTTGAGAAGTTTGTTACAGGCATGATCTCATTTTTTTTTCCTTCCTGTTATTGCCCGTCAGCATTCCTGATATTCTAACTAAAACTCTTGAATTCCTTCGTTGTCTTTTCAGCATATGGGCAATTTCTGAAAGCCAATGGTGAGCAGCCTGTTACTTGGAAAAGAGCTGCTACAATGGAGGATGTGCTGAGAGAGGCTGATGTGGTGAGATAGCTTTTGAATCTTTCATTGTTATTTTTTAACATTATCCATCAGGGGCTGATTCAGCTTCTTTTTTTAGGATGGACAAAATTTTAATTAATTAGACGGCAACAATAATAATAGCAAAAATAAAATAATAACATCAAATAGTAATAATAACATTTTTTTAAAAAAATTTAATCAACATAATGCTATCAAATTTATAAGAGGAAAATTTTTATCATTTATCTTCCATTTACATATTGGAAATGTCGTATGTAATTGGGAAGAGGAAGGTTGCAAGGCGGCGACATCTTGAACCGTTGAACGCCGAATGCATGAATCGGGAAAACGGCTGCGAGTGCGAACTTGCGGGATGGGCAACGATGCTTAGGGTGATAATATTGGACAAAAATATTCTTTTTGAGGGGGGGGGGGGTGGCAAAATATAAAAAATGCCACTGCTAGTACTTTATTCATTTTTTTGAGGGTGGGCAATGCCCACCCTGACATCAAGGGGGATCCGCCCATGTTATCCATCAATCCTTAAGCTTCGTCATAGCCATTGCATTTACCTTTATTTTGCATGGTTGCACTTAAGCTGAAACCAATGAAGTACAAAAACTGTGTTTGTTCGAGGATTTATAGTTTTAGGGTTGAAATGGGCATTAAAAATTCAACTTATTGGTCTTTTTTTGCAGATAAGTCTTCACCCAGTATTGGATAAAACTACATATCATCTGATCAACAAAGAGAGACTGTCAATCATGAAGAAGGTATAGGCAAATAGCTTATCTTTGCTACCTGTTTCAACTTTATCCTTTATCCTTAGCAATCAAATGTTTTAATGAACAAAGTGGCTTTTAATCACAGGACGCAGTCCTTGTGAATGCAAGTAGGGGGCCAGTGATTGATGAAGCTGCACTGGTAGAACATCTAAAACTAAATCCCATGTTCCGCGTTGGCCTTGATGTTTTCGAGGTTCGTCTTGCGTGCTTTTGGTGTTCTATTTTAAATTTGGGATTGCGACAATTCTTAGATTATCAATTTGTGTTCTACCATTTTACAGGAGGAACCTTTAATGAAACCAGGGCTTGCTGAACAGAAAAATGCTGTGGTTGTGCCTCATATTGCATCTGCTTCCAAGGTGAACTTAGGAAATCATACTCTTTATTGGTATAATTGTAATCATCATCAATAGCCTTAGGCTTCGTTTGGGACGGCTTTCTTGCTGCTTTTTAAAACAGCTTCATGGTATAAAAATTTCTAATTTATAAAAAAAAAAATATCTGGAAAGTTATTTTAAAAAGCAATAAGAAAGCCGTCCCAAACGAAGTCTTATACTAACTTGTTCGGGTCAGCTTTATGAATATCTTTTTAATTTATTTATTAATTGTAAAATTTATTCTTTGTAGATAATTCTAAACAACTTCTATCTATATCCAGTTTATAAAATTTTCCTTTAATATTGATTTTATCCATGCTCCTAATGGTGCATTTTCTTCCCATTATTATATATGTTTAAATTTTTTTAAATTATCTTAGTCTTAATAGATTTCACTCCTACCACTCATCTCATGTTATTATGCTTTCATTTATCCTTCCTAACTTTGCTATATATTCATCTTAATAGTCCCTTGTTTATTATGCTCAACTTAGATATTAATAATTTTTGTTTGTGTTGACCGCCAGACATAGATCCAAAACCCAGCCTAGAAATTCTGTAAAATACACATGCATTCGGCGCCATTCTTCGATTTGTTCGCCTCGATTGTTGTTCTTCCACAACCGACCTCCTGCTTCATCTCCCGATTCCCAAACCTCAAACCCCAAACCCCAAACCCATGCTGCTACTATATGCCAGTTACTATGTATTTCTACATATTTCATCGACAACTTGCCTTAATCGAAAGTTCTCTTTCGTTATTGGGAGGGGTAATTAACTATATGAGCTTGTGCCTATAGGAAACTAGAACTCATATCATAAAGTCATTGTATAATGAGGGCGAAATCACTTAGTGTCTTATCTTCAAACCTAATATGTCTTCCCAAAATTTATCCCGAAACTTAATCCGTTAAACCTCCGAAAAGCAATGGGGATGCTGTGGCACGAATTTTCTGAGCCCACAGTCTGCTAAGATCTAGATTCATATAATATTATGAGACCAATGAGGATTTTATAGAACTTATCTTTACATCTTCAGGATATGATCTTATCATATGGAAGTTAAGTATTGAAAAATTCAAGAGATTTCTCATCTGAATGGTTTCTCCATATATTGTTTTCAGTGGACGCGCGAAGGAATGGCTACTCTTGCTGCTCTAAATGTTTTGGTATGCTTGTTTTAACGGGAATGAATTGAAGTTTATGTATATCTACTATGAATGCGAATTCCTTTTGCTTCCTTACTGTTAAACAGGGCAAGATCAAAGGATACCCAGTTTGGTCTGATCCTAATAGTATTGAAACTTTCTTAAATGAAAGCTCTCAGCCTCCACCAGCTAGTCCGAGTATCGTCAATGCAAAACAACTTGGTATGCTTCCTTAATACTTGTAGCATTCTTTTTAAAGAAACTTTTTCTTTTGTAAACTAGCTGAACATGAGCAAGCTAAGGCTCTATTCCGTTCTTGAACTATCAGTTGAGCACAAAGAAGCTCAAATTTAATACAAGTTGGTAACCATCAAGTGCATCAATATTTTTTTATTAATGGCTTCTATTGCATGAAAAAAGTTTGTGAATTTTCTTTGTACAATACACTTTAAGATTCATAGAACTTGGAATATATATTTTCATGATTTCTTCAATGATTTTTAATGTAACATACCAGAGTAAATTAACTTTACATGAATATATATGTATATATTTAATATTTTAATATATGGAGCTCTTATGAAGCTGATTATAATCAAAAGAGCTTATGTTTGCCTCATTTAGGTTTTGTTTGGGATGACTTTTTTAATGTTTCTTAAAGCAGCTTTTTAGTACTAAAAATTTAAATTTTTGCACTAAAAAGTTGTTTTAAGAAACAGTGAGAAAGCTGTTCCAAACGAAGCCTTAGTAAAAAAGTTAAAGAAAATTTTGTTCAAATTCATCTAAGTTACATAACGAATGAGTTGAATATGAACAGTTATAGAGCAAAACATAAGTTGCTCGTAAACATCGACCTTTATTTTTACTCCCCTAGATGAAATTTTCAGAAATATTGTCAGAATAAACTCATTTTACCGGCTGGTTATTATAATTTAGGGGTGTCAATTTCGGGTCACGGGTTGGGTTCGGGTCGAACCTGAAACTAACCCGACACTATTCGGGTCAACCCGAACCCAACCCGCTTTAGGTCCGGGTCAATCCGACACGACCCGAATGACCCGGTGCCAACAAAAAACTGCTAGTTTTTGGGTCTAAAGAATGGGTTAATCTCCGCTTTTTCGTGTAAAAAATGGGTCAATCTCGGATTTTCGGGGAAAAAACGGATCAATTTTAGGTCAAAGGGTCAATCCAAACCTGACCCGTTTTTTGAACCGGATCGAAAAGTTGAACTCGAACCCCACCCGTTTCGGGTTCGGGTTGACCCTAACCCGAAATTTTCAGGTCAGATTCAAGTCAGGTTTTCGGGTCGTGTCAAATATTGACACTCCTACTATAATTTATACCACCTGCCATTAAAGTGAAAAAAAATATTAGAAACAAAATATTTAGTATAATTACCACATTTCTTCCTTCATGATTGAAATTGAAGTGAAAAAAGATATAAAGTTTTAAGTTGTTCCAGATGTTTCATCAGTAGTTAAAATGGAAAGATTTTCTTGTAGGTTTGCCTTCTTCGAAGCTGTGAAAGGAAAGCTCATGGTGGGCAAGTATATTCAGCTGAAATATTTAGAGTATATAAGGGCCTTTTTATAGTCAAGCCGGTCCTTTACAGTTTAGCACAGCACAGCTGCTTTGTCTAATATTGTTAAGTTTCTCTGTAAGCTATGCTGAAATATATTTGGACTTTCAGGAATAAAATTCCTCATATTGGCTTATATTTAGTACAAATTGGAGATCTTTCGACTGGTTTTAGCTAATAGTTTGATCTTCACTGTAAAGTACCGTTAAGTTTTGAAAAGAAATTTATGTAGAATAACTTGGGCTGTATGAGTACTTTAATACTCCTTTGATTGATGCGGATGAATGGATGATGAACTTGGCGCCTAACATGTATTGCCTCCGCTGGGCTACAGCCTTTGCAATTGCTTACAATTTGAGGATATAAATGCCCTAACTCTGTTTTAGAAAGCAATAAAAAAGCCGTCCCAAAGGAAGCCTAATCCTTAGGCTTCGTTTGGGATGATTTTTTTGCTGCTTCTTAAGGCTGCTTTCTCGTACAAAAATTAAAATTTTTGTACTAGAAAGCAATAAAAAATCGTCCCGAACAAAGCCTAATAATCGTTGAGTTGAACTCTGTCTTCCTATGATGTAATTAACTACGAGTGTTTGCGATCGTAGGAGATTTAAAATCACACACACCTGATTTTCAAAATTGAACTTTTCAAAATTTAAATTGATTTCTTTGGGAAAGTTAAAATATTAATGATCGTTATCATCATATTCGAAGAATTATCATCGAATGACATTTTCTCCAATTGGGGAGATATATCTTTCATTAATAAAGCATTGGATATGAACTTAACGATCACCCTTCTTGATCATCGTAACTGGATATTTAGTTGAAACTCACTATGGCCCTTTGGGGCCATACGAAGTTCTCTTTAACATCCGGTCACAATACTCAAGATGAGATTCATAATTCTAAATATAAATCCCGTTCTGAAATTCTATTTTCATCTTTCGATATGATATACTTTTTTCTAATGAGATAATTCGATTTTAGAATTAGAATTTAACTTTAATTTTAAAATTCACAAAGAAAATCAAACTTTTCAAAACCTGTTTTCAAAATTCCATCAACAAGTGTACACACTAATAGTATGGACAGTTCTTTCCCGTATGGACTCCTCATGGAATAATTTCTCTAAAAGAAGAGGATGATTTCCATCATTGGTTCTCTCTCTGCACGTTTTTCTCTTCGGATACCTCAATATACTGGAGAATTTAAATAAATCAATTCTCTCCTTATTTTGTATTTCTTCTTTTAAATCTCTGCATTAAGTGATATTCATTACAAATGTTAATTCACTTTTTTTTTTTCTTTTAGCGCTATTTTTTCTGTAGCTATTATAAAAAGCTTCTGATCAAGATGAGTAAGAATTTTTTTCCTTCAGTTATCATTCTCTACATGCTATGAGATCAACTCAACTAACCGAGCTTTTCAATGCCCCTATTATTCTTAACCCATTTGATAAATTTCAAACCCTCATTGCAATCAACACCAACACAAAAATCAAATTTATCACCTCCAACTACTCATGAAGTCATTCTTGATGTTGAATGTATTACGAATCTCCTCAAGAGTCTTGCCCTTTATCATGTTAGCGACTGTCTGGAAAGTAAGCTTAAGAGAAGACTCTTGGTGTTCAGATAGTTTGCAGCCGGAGCTACCAAATATAAGGATATCAATGTGGGCTCCGAAAATTTGGCCCCGACCTCCACCCGCGTTGCTTATATTTCGAGGGGAGTTTTAATGGAATTAAGTTCCGGGGTACATTTTGGGAAGGCTGATGGGTTTGTAGATAAGACACTACCCAGAGATTTCACCCTTATTTTGTGACGACTTTATGATTTGAGTTCTGGTTTCCTATAGGCGCAAGACCCTATAATTAATTACACCTCCCGATAATGAGAGAGAACTTTTGATTAAGGCTAGTCATCAATCAGATACATAGAGATACATGTTATCTAGCATATAGTAGCAGCATTCGATTTAGGTATTTGGAAATGTAAAGATTTTATATTTAAAATTGAAAATTTCACCATCTTGCACTTAAAGCGGATGGTGGGGGAATAGATGATAGAGCCGATCAAGATCACATGGTTCCGTCATCCCGGGCCATCGTGATCCCTGATCTACTTAGTCAGAGGAGGTAGTCGATCCAACCTGACAGAAGGATTCTTATCGGCAGCCATAGGTTGCTTCTTCCAAGGGGACCTTATAGACCTGATTTGAGTATTTGTCTAAGGGGACAAATTTGAATCCACTTTAACTAACAGCGGGCTTTGTGCCCTATCGATTATATCATATTGATTCACATCTCAAGGATTTGATGACACTAAAGAACGTATTGGCTCTGGCCATAACCGCTATCACGTGGTGTCATTTAGCAGTAAAACCACTCGGTTCAGAGGGCCCGAGTTATAACCGTTTATCCTGTGTTGCCATTTAGCAGCAAAACCATTTGTTAGAGGACACGTACCACGTTCTTACTAATAAGAGATTAATTGAGAATGAATCCTACTAATATTTTCGACCAAGCATTAGCTTTATGTAAGCTGAAATAAATTTTAATGTGTCCACTTCGACAAACTGTTGCAGAGGGCGGATGGATTTAGCTTTAAGTGGTTGATGATTGAATTTCAATTTTTAAATATTTTGAATTGAGATTTTCAGATGTTTGAATTTTTTAGTACTTAGGATGACATTTTGAAATATTTGAAATTAATCTCTCTGGTTGAGATCTACAATCAACACGTCTATCATCGGGGTGTGTGGGTTATTTTCATTTGTAAATTAAACCTTAAAAACTCTGTCAAGTTGTTGACATAGGATCAAGTTTTGTCATAGGCTTTGTACCTTTATTAGTGAATTCTCATTATATGGGTCTTGAATACCTAATATGAATATATTAAAACAAATATACCAGTCACCACAATCGTATATTTGTTTAATAGTTCGAACCCTGTCGACTCCTATTAATATGCATAGAAAAATCAGGTTCGAACTTGAATTCACTTATTGATCCACATAGCATCCCTATACATCATGTGTGTACTTATAACACGCTTGTCGGGGCCCATGCGGGTGTTTGGGGGTATTTTATAATTATTTTTTTAACCTTATTGACTCCTATTTACCTGCTTAGGAGGATCAGGTTAAAATTTATTGACCTGTGCAGCATCCTTAGACATCACATGTGTACCAATAATACACTCGCCAGGGTCCATGCGAGTCATGTGATTATACATGCCCTTTTTGCGTACCTATATGTATACAAATTACAGTGCATGTGCAGGTGCATTCTTGGAATATCTTGATGCCGATCAGTTGTACGGGTGACCGCCATTTGGACGCAGCGTTCTATTTGGATGCTCCTACACGCCTTTTGTCCACTTGCATGAATGTTGCGAATCCTGTGGCGTGTTGTAGCAGCTTGTGCATTGAGTTATTTGCTGCTTTATACAGGTAGATTGTCATGCACTACTTGTATAATTTATGTAGGTAAATTGTAGTGCACTAACTAATCTTTTACTTTTTCTCATGAATGCTGATAACAATTAGATGTCTTTTATATTTGCTCATAGATGACACTTTGCATACATGAAAAACTTCCTACGACGACTCCTATGAATTTGGATTTATCGTTGCCTTATATCTTTGCTTGCAGAGATAAGTACTTGTGTCCATAGAGGATTTATTGCACTTACTACGTATCCACTATTGTTATCGACAAGTAATTTCAGTGGTCGTCGTAGATCACAAGGAATGGTTGTATTCATCTACGAGTGAACCGACCTCAACCGTAGGGATCGATATCACAACCTTAGTTATATACCTCTTTAGTGTATTTGTCTTCCACTGGATGATTGTTGGCTATAGAGATGTTACAGTATCCATGCTACAACAGGTCGTAGGTACTATGCATTATGCTATAGGTATGTTATCTTTGCTTGCAGACAATATGCTTGTTTGTGTCTTGTTGTTGAATATGAGGATGCTAGAATACTCTTGCTACAAGAGTTTGCAGATGCTCGTATCTATTGCATATAAGTTGTTGTATCAACTAATAATTCCCTTCATTAGGGCTTTTGTTCTTCAATATGCAAGCTCATTAGTCGGTTGATATGAATACTTGCAAATTTCATGTTGGATATACATAACAATCAAGAATCTTGTAGCATATATATTCCTCTCATTTGAAAGTAGACTATTATGTGCTCATTTACACGTTAGTCTGTATTGATAACATAGGATTCACTTCTACTACATCTCCCTTTCTTTGCTTGTGGCCTTGTCGTGTTCATTGCACATGATTGTGGACAAATCATCATGATCATTCCATGCATCTTATTATCCCTTCTCTAGAAAATTTATTGGGCATACTATCGATTATTCGTCATTCATAAGTGACCTTTCAATCTTCATCACTTAAAGCAGAGTGAACGTATTTATCTATATATTAGCACTTTGCAACGAGGTTGAGTTGCATTCAATATTAATTTCTTCATCCATATTTGTAGGAAAATTCATTATACTTGTAACATATCCAATACCACGACTTGTGAGCACAATCACTATACCCATTACAAATTTTAGGTGTTCGTAAGGGATCCACCATCCATGCAATATCTCTACTACTGTTGTTTGTAAGTAGATTCAGCGCATTTTATACGCATATTAATATAGACTGCTGAATGGATTGCATTCATCAATAATATCCTCATGTATGTTGATTGATGATTTGTTATATTTGTTGTAGTTGTTCTGTATTTACTTGTAGACAAAGTATTGTACATATGATGAGCTTTTGTAATAGCTCATAGGAGCTCGCATCTGCAACATATTCTCCATCTTCACTTGTAGGAGAGTAATGTGCTTGTTTGGATGAGATTTGGATGGATTGCCCTCCTTAATTAACATTCGCATTCTCAATAGAATGATAATTCCATAGGAATGTTGATTATCCCCCAAATCACATTCTTTAGAGCTCCTCTACTGATGCTTATTTGAATGCATGTCAAATTAAATGCCAGTTCATCACATGATATCTTGAGCTTGTTTCTTATAATCTATTCAAGTTAGATCCTTTATGATCCATTCAAACTTTTTGTTATTAATTAGAATGAAATTTTCTTTCTTTTTTTTTTTTTAATTTGATCACTTAGTTCAACTAGATCCATCCTCAATTTAGCTCATTTGTCTTAATTATGCTCAAATTCAAATTCATATTATCATAAGCTTAAGTTCAAAGCTTTTTTTTTTT